AACAGATATACCCAATTTCATTCATCCCATACCCTGTAAAACTTCAGGAAATGGATTTCTTTCTTTCAAAAGATAAATTCACAAGAATCGAAAGAACTGAGGAGGGGACAGCAGAAAACAGCAATAATTTTCAATCTAGACCTTTCCCCCACGTGACAGCTTTGGGTGATTGCTGCCCTCTGATCTTGGCAGTCACCCATTGGCTTGTTCCTTGGAGAGAAGCAAAAACTTCAGCACTCAGGCCATCAGGCCCTTTAAAAGTTGATGGTGCCCGTGCTGGCCAGAAAAGAGGGCAGTGAAATTCTTAGCTGCTTCCCCACCTGACTTGTTTTTACCTGCCGGCGTTCAAGCCTTCAATTTTCAGAAGGTTGAATCTGAGGAGACAAGGAAAGACCTAAAGATGCTGGCAGGTGAGGTGAACAATAAGTGACCTCACCAGGTCACTCCTCAGTGACTCCAAAGTCAAGAGCTTCTTCTTCTTCTTTTTTTTTTTTAATGAATTTAGGACAGGGTCTACAGGATCTCACTATGTAGATAGGACTCCTAGTGATTCTCCTGTTTTCAGCCTGCCAAGGGCTAGGGTTACAGGGGCACCACCATGCCCAGTCTCCATTGCCTTCTCACTGCAGATCAGGGGTGGGGCCGGCATGGCACACAGGGAATCGAACCCCAGCCGCTGTGCTCTGCCTAAGCAGGTGCTTTAGTCTGCTGAGCTATCTGGCCCGCCGTAAAAGCTTCTAATTCTTCAACATGTGCAGACATCCAGAGGTCCCCAGGCATCTAGGGGAGCTTAGAATGGGGGGGGGGGCAGGGCCAAGATGCTAAGAAATTGTTTCCATTTTTCTACAAGGTTGTGTGAAACAAACAAATCAATGTGCAGCAGGAAAAAAATCAAAGAATTTGCAGAATATGCAGCAGTGGGGCCCAGAAAACCTAAAAATACTACCTGGCCCTTCACAGAAAAAGACTGCCAACCCACTGGGGCATGAAAACTAGACACCTAAGCAGGGATAACATCAAATAAAATAAGTAAAATCAGTATTTTTTAAGAAAGTCTTTTATTTATGTATTTGGTACAGGGTTTCACTATGCAACTCAGACTTGTAGTGATCCTCCCATCTCAGCCTCCCCACAGCATGGGTACCAAGGATTGAACTTGGGTCTTTGTGCTTGCCAGGCAGGTACATAGATTGCCAAGCTATCTCCTCAGTCCCTAAAATCAGTATCTTGAAGAACTATTTAAATAGAATTTTCAGAGAACAAAAAGGAACAGAAAGATTACAAAGTAAAATTCAGAAAACTCCCCTACTAAAGTAAAAGACAAAAAAAAAAAAAGAATGGAGAAATCCAAAGAAAAGAATGGGATGAACAAACATGTTCCAGCAAGTGGACAGCAGAAGGGAGGAAATCAACACATCAATGAAATAATTGCTCAAAATATCCCTGGAAGCTGGGCATGCTATACAGACGTGTAATTTCAGCACTTTGGGAGGCTAAGGCAGGACTGGAAATTTGAACCCAGTGAGCGCAATCTATGAGACTATTTAAAAATAAAAAAGTCTAATGATTTAGCTCAGTGTGAAGGTTCTGGGTTCAATGCAGTACCAAAAAAAAAAAAAAAAAAAGTCCCTAGTCTATAGATTTTTATTTATTTGACTGCTTCCACAGCTGAATACCTATCTGCTCAACATAGCGTATAAAAAGGATCCACAGAAAGGACATCACTTTGAAGTTTCAGAATAACAAGGAAGAAGAGACCTAAAAGTTTTCAGAAAGGACTTATGATGCAGCTCAGTGGTAGGGAGTGCACTTCGCATGTTCATAGCTGACTGAGTTGATCCACATCACCGTCAACAACAACAAAAACAAGTTTTCAGAAAAGAAAAACAGAAGTTCTGACGTCAGGTGTGGTGGCACATGGCTGTTATGCCAGCAGCTTGGGAGCATGAGGCAGAGGGATTCTGAGGCTGAAGTCAGGCTAGGCAATTTGAGGAGACCCTTTCTAAAAATAAAACAGGCCTGGGGATATACTTTAGGGCAAAGACCTGGCTTCAACCCCAATGCCAAAAAACTTAGTCTCTTAAAATGTGAGGCTAGCATGAACATTTAAAGAAAAAGTCTTCTGCTGGGCATGAACTGTAATTCCAGCACTCAGGAGGTTAAAGCAGGATTGCCATCAGTTTGAGGCCAGTCTAGGGTCCATAGTGAGTTTGAGGACAGCCTGAATTAGAGTAAGACATTGTCTCAAAAAATTAAAAAATGTCTGGAAAGTCTTAAAAGCTCTCTGTGCTCCCTGCCCCACCCCCACCACCCTGGAGGACATGTACCACTGAAAGGATGGAGAATATGTGACAGGAAATGAGGCCCACAGAAACTCCCTTAGGTGGGGACCACTTGTGTAAACCAGAGCATGCCAGCTCCAGGAAGAGAGGTGTGGCCCTGGCACCTTATTCTTATCCTCTCAAGTTGGACAGACTGCCATATATCAGCCTCACAGATGATCTTGTTGGTTGTCAATTCCTGCGTTTCCTCCTTGTATGTTGTCTAGGAAGCTCATTTCAACCTCAAACAAGTGTTCTGTTATCCAGAAATGGAAGATAGGCCATTTAAAACAAAATACAAAGCAAGTGGACAGAAGCCCTCACAGAGCACTACTTCCTGCCAGTATTCCCGAAGATCCCTGGTTACTTGGTTCACTCATACTAGCTGTATTAGGCAGCTGCTAGGACACAGCACCCAACACCCACAGCTTGAGGTTTAATTCTGCTCATGGTTTCTGTCCAGTCAGCTGGCTCCAAGGCAGGAACACTGCGGCAGGCAACAAGCAGGGGGGCAGCAATACTAGAGAAGGCACAAGGGACCAGATGTCCACCCGAGGTCACACCTCCTTGATGTGCAGATTCCCAGAAGTGCACTCTACCAGTCCTGGGGCAGGTCCACTCTACGTGGCGCACTACCCCACTTCCTAGGAACTCTGTTGGGGCCTGCTCCTCCCAGCCTGTCACTAGCCCACTCAGAAGTGGCTGTTAGGAACTCTCAGGGAGTGACAGGACAGCCAGGTGCTCATCAGTTTCTTCCTGCAATCTTCAACATTAGAGGCAGCACTACTCATCATAGTTGTGCTTGCTACTCAACCCTTCTATTAATCTCTGTTCAATCCACTAAATCTTAGTCAGGTTTTACAAGAGATTTATTTATTTTTGGTACTAGGGATCAAACTCGGGACCTAGCACTTGCCAGACAGGAGCTTATTCCACTGAGCTATTTCCCCAGCCCTGCAAGAGTAGATTTAATACCAGACACATGTAGAAATATAATACCCACCCAAAAAGTCAAATGCACAAGAACCCAAGATCTGTCCATACACTAGAGTCCCAAAGAATCCAGCTGAGGGCCTGAATCTCATGGCAGTGTCCTGCACGAGTCCAGCTAGAGGCCTGGAGCCTACAAGTGTCAAGGATCTGCACTGGGAAGGCCACAAGTCAGGGGTAGAAGCTACAAAGTCTGTGCCAGTGGGGTGAAAGACTGTGTTAGCAGGCTGAGGGATCTGCACTGGAGCCAAGAAGCGAGGCTCAAGCTCCCCCAAAAGACCAGAGCTCCCCCAAAGAACCACAGGCATCCTCAGCAACAGCAAGAACTTGAGATCTTCTGACAATGAGAACAGCTGAGTTTGTATCAGGACAACCAGTGTAACAAACTTCCCCAGGGGAATCAACAGCACACCATCTTCCCCTCCAATTCTTTTTATGCTCCTGGCAATAATCTAACTGGACCTTCCACCCCAGAACGATGCTTAGATCACGTTAATCCACCACACAGATTCAGTTGAAAAATGAATACTGTTTTATAAGTGTAACTACTTGTTTATTTAGTGGTTTTAATTTTTTTGAGACACTTATGTAGTCTAGGCTGGCCTTAAACTCAGTGATCCTCCTGCCTCAACCTCCCAAATGCTGGGATTATATATATGTACCACCACCACACCCTACAATTCAGTAATTTTTTTATTTATTTTTAATGTATTTAGTACAAGGTCTCACTACAGATTGGGCTTATAGTGATCCTCCTGTTTACGGCCTCCCAAGTGCTGGGGTTATTGAGCCACCACAAGCAGTGTCATTCACTGTCTCAGCTAGCTGCAGGGGCGGGGCCAGCACAGCACTGCAGGACTAGAACCCTCAGTGGTTTTTTAAAAGTCAAGGGTAATATACAACAACTGTGGAAAACGGTTTCCTATATTTTATTTTTGGAAGTCATATATTGCTTTTATAATTAAAAATACTAAGCACCCTATATTAAACAAGAAAAAATCTGCCATTTTGGTATAATCAATCTGGCACAAAGAATCAGTTCAAGAATCTATTTCTTTTTGTAGCAGGAATCAAACTCATGATCTCACACCTGCTAGGCAGGCGCTGTGCCACTGAGCTATGTTCTTGGTAAATGGAACTATAAGCCTTAAATGTTTTCTTAAGTGTGTAAAAAGGGCACTTAAAAAAATTCATTCAAATTCAGTATATCCCTGGAATTCTGTATCTTCTATTTAAGAAATGACAAATGCCTCTAGTGGCATTTTTACTTTCCTTCGTTGCAAAACGTGAAAGCTCAGAAACTAGGCTTCCTAAGGTTGACAGAGAACTATAAAATGAGGAAAAGCTTCTTGAATTATCTTCTAAAAATTTTAATCATAGCATGTTAATATTTTAACATGTTTTAACATCATGTCATTTAGAAAACTACTGTCTTTTTTTTTTAAAGTTACATTTCTTGTTATATAGGTTTTTCTTTTAAATTTTATTTATTTATTCATTTATTTGTGTGTGTGTGTGTGTGTGTGTGTGTGTGTGTGGCCAGCTCAGCCCACCAGGGGGCAGGGCTGGCTGGCATGTGGTGCTGGGGGATTGAACCGTGGTTCCTGTGCTTTGCTAAGCTTGTTCTAAGTAGGTGCTTTAGACCACTGAGCCATCTCACCAGCCCAACTACTGTCTTTAAATAATAAAAGAACAGTGATTTTCTTATTGTAAGTTGTTTATTGTAAGGTATTTATAAACATCTATCTGTAGTAATTCAAACAATGGACCACATTTCTTCTGACAAAGACAGTAATAAGCTCTAAACAAAATCAGCTTGCTTAATTTTTCTTCTTTACCTGAAAAAAAAAAAAATACAGAGCAAGTAAAAATCAAACTGTATTCTTTTTGGGGGGATGAAAATAATATTAAGAGGTAACATTAAAGTGAGATATAAAATATTTATAAAATGTTCAGTATTTGTCAGATTTGGGGCTGAGAAACTTCACTGGTTCATGAGAATGCTGCCTCTTCATTCTCACTGTATTCACAGAATACATAATTATTTTCCAGAAGACGTATGATATCACAAGAACATGAATGTATAAAGAGATGAGAATCTAGGTGTCTCCTTTTAAATTAGACATTAAGGGGTTCTGAAACCATTCAGATTGAGAACCACTTTCACTAACCTACACTTGATATCTCAAGACAATGCTAATTATCCTTAAAGTTTATTTCCTACATCTATGTTTTCTACAACCAATGTATTTAATAAATGCAAACAAACCAAATCCACTAGTACTGCCCATGTACATCCACAAACTAGCTGCTGCTATAAACTGGCTTGCCAATCTAAAATCTCTTAGAGAAGCAGTTTCATTAATGCTAAATTAACATCAGTTATATTCGGCTAGGTTTCCTTTCTGAAAGGGAACGGGAAGGGTGAATGCACTTTACCTCTTGTGTAAGGATGGAACTTGATTTTCATTAATCCCTGGTTATTATATTAGAAGAAAAAGAACAAACACAAAACAAGCAGGTCAAGAGGCATTCCATGCTAGTTAATCACAGTCATTTTCTAGCTGCTACCTTAAGTATATCATGTAAATACTTAACAAAGCACTCCTTTAAAACCAATTCAATGATATAAAAAGTTACAGATTCCAGTCTGGTTAAGCAATGAAAATATATGCATGCAAATAGGTAGACTAAAGATATAAATTACTATTTTTTTTCTATAAGAAGCATACATTAAAAAATTCTAAAAAAAAAATTCTAAGCTGGTAGCATATACCTATCACCTCAAATATTGATTAGTCATGCATTTAATTTTATTACTAGTCATATATATCTGCATTAAACGTTAAAGTCACAAATTATAAAAACAAACAGGTTACAAAGCACACAACTCCACTCCTAAATAATCCAACCTTGGACTCTACAACTAACTTTTAAAATAGGGAGGTAGACCACCTTTCTAGAAATGAAAATTTAATAGGCAATTTTCAGTTGTTCAGATTCATCTTTCTAAATTCTTAATTTTATGTCCCAACTTCCCTCTCGTTTCCCTTGATTTTGCTACTTTTAGTAAAGTTTCCACATTCCTAATCAAGAAAGAAGAGGTTGGTCCTGAATGCTGAAGAAATTTTAAGACCTAACACTGGTTTTACAAGAGCCAAAAGGAGCTTTGACTTCTCTGGATTCCATACAGCCTCTAGGCCTTCCTCCACCTGGACCTTTTCAAAACTTAGGATCCAAGAAGAAATTAGCCTAACAGCAGCACCAGACTTAGAATGAGAATAATAAGTGATTATGTATGTATGTATGTATGTATGTATGTATGTATGTATTTTTAAAATGTATTCAGTACAGTTTACAGGGTTTCACTACCCAGATCAGATTCATACTGATCCTCCTGTTTCCAGCCTCCCGAGTGCTGGGATTACAGGCACTCATCACCACGCCCAATCTCAATGGATGTCTCAGCATGCCTTGGGGGCAGGGCCACCACACCATGTGGTGCCAGGGATCGAACTGTGGTCCCTGCACTCTGCCTAAGCAGGCAGTTTAGTTCACTGAGCTTCTGGTCAGTCCTAATAAGTGATTATTTAATCCTTGTATTAGACTGTGTTTATAGGTGAGAAAGCTGCATCATAGAGTCTCAAACAAGTTTATCATGCTGTACATCACAAGATGATGCTCTATGAAACCAACAGAACTGTTGGGCCAGGATATGGAGTTGTTCTAACAAAACTAAGCTGAGGAAACAAAGTAAAAGAAGGAAGAAAAATGCTTAGGACTGCAGAGCTGATGAAGTCAACTAGTAATTTATACAACAATCTCCACTGGCTCATTAGAAAATCATCCTACCCTAACCTCAAGCACATGGTCAAATTAAAAGGCAACTCCTGAACTAATGTCAGAAGTGTAAAGATACCCAGAGGTGAGGACAAGAGTGCCCACTCAGACCATGAAGGAGTTTTCTAAAAGAAAGGTTCCCCCAGCCCAGTGAGGAAGGCTAAGCAGGAGGCTCTCAGATGAAGAATCAAAGCAAGTGGAAGGAGAGGATGGTGTTTTAAACTGGCAGTGGCAGCACATAGTTAATCCCAGCATGCAATCCCTCCTCCTGAGGAAGGATTACAGTTTGAGTTCAGCATAGGCAATTTGGTGACTTAGCAAGGTCCTGTTTCAAAAAGAAGAAGGGCTGGGGGATGTAGCCCAGTTTGAAGCCTTGGGCCACCTCCTTGGAGATAAGAGAAGAGTACAATATATTTGACGACCTAGAAACAGATTAAGATAGCCGAGGTTCATGCAAGCCAGAAATGGCAAGGGATTAGACTGGAAAGAGTACAGCTGATGACCTGAAAATAGTGACCACAAACATCAAGCCAGGCTGTCCCTAGAGAAACATCGCATTCCACAGAATGAGTTCTACTTCTTCCCTCACAATACACTGTCAAAGATGAGCAGATTTTTTTTTTTCCTGTGAGGGGCCAGATAGTAAATATTGTAGCTTAGGCCTGTCAGTTACATATTGTTTGCCCCCTTCCCTACTATAATCAACTTTTAAAATGTAGATCTGTGCCAATTTTCTGACCTGTGTCTTCTGCTCTAATTTTTATTTAGTATCTGTTTTCTGTTAAAAGACTTAGCTCCCTGAAGGCAAAGACTGACATCATAGTTTCAGTTTCTAGTACATGGCCTTGTATTTAAGAGGCACTCAAATTTGGGAAAGAAAAAAACCAAACAAACAATTTTTGCTAGGTGGGGTGGGGAAGCATACTGGGGAGGCTGAGGCAGGAGGACAGCATGAGCCAAAGAGTGGAAAGCCACCTTGGACAATGTGGCAAGAATCTGTCTCAAAACAACAACAAAAACCCCACAAAAATAACTCAATCTTCTAGAAGTTGTGACCAATTAGTACAAGGTAAGTGGAATGAATCAAAATTAACTCACTATACATTTTATCTTTCATCACAATTACCCTGTTTTCTCAGTCTATTGGAAAAAAAACCAAAAACAAATCCTGAACACTGTGCCTAGAATTGCACTTTGCACATGGATAGTCTAATAATTTTTTGAATAAAATTGCCATGATGTTACCCTTTGTTTCACAACTATTATCATGTCTTGACAATCATGACATTTTCTTGAGGGAAGCAGAATGCTTGCTAACTTATGGTTCTGATACAGGAGAAATAATTTTTAAAGTTCGTGAACCCCTACCACCATTAAGTGGCTTAAAAAACCAAATTCAAGGGCCATGGAGATGGATCAGTGGAATAAGTGCTTCCCTGGCAAATGCAAGGGCCTGAGTTCAATCCCCGGTTCCGCGAAAAAAAAAAAAAAACAAAAAAAAACAAAAAACCACATTCAAAATTAGTCTTGACATTCAGATAGCTTAGCCTACAATGCTTTAAGTTCCAAAGACAGACTTACAAATGGTACTGAATTATTCACATCTTTGTTCCTAACACTTTAGAAAAGTACAAGCTAACAATACACTGATCTCTAAACAGAAGAAACTAAGCCTGAATGTTTCAGTTGAAACAATCAGAATAAACCAAGGAGCCTAGAATCAAGATTCAGCAATGAATCTTTTTCACTTTAGTGGATAAAATATTTACATGCAAAGGTTAAAGTAGTAGACAGGGGAAAGCAGAAAATGCCCCACCAAGGGTACCAATTTATGGTTACTCACAGAGCTGCTGCACCAGAGATGATTTCAATCAACTCTTTGGTGATGACGGCTTGGCGAGTACGATTGAATGTCAAAGTCAATTTATCAATCATCTCAG